TTGGACCCCATGTGATAAGGTCCTTAGTACAGATGCACTTGCCAGGTCAATAAATTGAAGGCTGAATGAGATAACATTTTGGGACAAGGCCCTGATGTCCAAGAATATTATTATGGGTTTCTGTATTTGGAAGCTCAGCTATTTAAAGAACGCTCATATTCCCTACCCCCATATGTCAGTCACTCCTTTCTGTAGCCCTTCAAGCATGCCTTCATTAAATGAAAAGTCACAGCCTTTTAAATCTTTCTTTATATGGACAAATTTTCCATGCCTATAATCCATTCCTCAGTATCTTTCTGAAACCCTTCTATTTCCAAGATAGCATGATCATAATTAAGCTCAACTTTCCATGTATAACAATGATTAATATAATAAGCTATAATGTTGTCAGTCTTCTCCCATGAGTGATTTCTGTTAATTTAAATCTCTAGCTTTCGGAAGTACAGCATTGTACAGATGGGTCTAAAATTAAAACAAAAATAAAAGCAAAACCTCCACATCCAAACCTACGTGAAGTATCTTAGTACTGCTGAAATCAAGACACTCCCTGTTTCCTTCAATTAATTTTGGACTGCAACCACTTGATGCACTAATTGAGTAGAAAAGAGCAACAACATTCTTCCACAAATGACATGTTTGGTATCAATATGTATTTGATGAAAAGGTAGCTAAGGAAATTTGCTTCTAAGTCTGTCTGGCTAGATTTACAGTTAGTGGAAAAGCTGTGAAATTTCAAACACTGGTTTTGCTTGGATGTAATCCTACACTACAGTTTAGTATTATATGAAGGAGACTAATCAAGCTTGTAGTTGTCAGTTTTTCAAAATAGCATTAAAAGAGAGCCAAAATTCATGATACATGGGGCTGACAATTAGGAAGTGGTGGTAATAAACCAGATTAGTCTTTCAGGTGCTACAGGCAGTTTTAAATTACTAACCCCTGTACTGAGTTCTTCCTTTGCTGGCCTTTTCAACTTGCCCACCTGTATTTTATGCATCGGAGTTTCTTCTGATCACCCGTTTACAATCTGTGTATATAAATCTGCCTGCTGAGTTAACACTTTATGCATTTGATGAAGGGGATAGTCTCCACAAAAGCTTATAAAATTGATTGGTCTTTAAGGTGCCACAAGACTGTTGTATTAAACTGCCAGACCATACACTGAGTTCTTCCTTCCTAGCCTGGGTTTAACCACTTAGAATCAAGTTACAAAACAGGTTCACAAGTATAACTGTGTACATTTTCTCTTTCCTTTATGAACCTTACCTAGCAATTAGCAAATCACTGGCTGGCCATCACAGAAAAAGCCAATTTGGAAGCCTTGCAAACTTATTGCCCAACCCCAAACACTCTCCAACTGTCCTGACTTGGTAGAGAGAGTTCCAATGAAT